TTTGTGTCCGAGGTGGTGATTGGGTGGGGCGAGATGAGGGTGAACGTGAAGGAATGTGATTGGTTGGGTGGGTGGAACGGGGAGGGGGGCGCGACTTTTGACTCCCCCCACAGGGACCCGAAATATCCCGAAATACCCCCAAAACACCCCTAAAGGGACTCCAAAAAAAACCCCAAAATGCCCCCACAGGGGCCCAAAAATACCCATCACAGGGACCCAAAATATCCCTAAAGGGACCCCAAAATACCCGAGAGACCTCAAAAATACCCCCAAAATATCCTGAAATACCCCAAATGGACCCCAAAATACTACCCAAAGGGCCCAAAAATATCCCAAAGGGACCCCAAAATATTCACCCAAATATCCCAAAATCCCCCCCCCAAGGGAATCCCAAAACACCCCAAAGAGACCCCAAAATACCCCCAAATAGGGACCCCAAAATCTCCCCCCATTTCCAGAGCAGAGAGACCGGGGGGGGCTTTTCCATCCTTTATTTGGGAAGGGGGAGGTTAAGGCAGCGGTGGAGGCTGAACCCCCAAATCCCACAGTATTCCCTCAAATCCTGAGGGGTCCCTCCAGCTCCTCCCCCCAAATCCCATCCCACTCCCCCCAAATCCTGGGAGTCCCAAATCCAAGACCCCAAATCCCAGGAGGCCTCCCCAGGACCCCCAAATCCAACCCCCTCCCTCCCCAAATCCCGGGGTGGTTCCCCCCAGAACCCCCTAAATCCAGAGAGTCCCAAACCCGGGACCCCAAATCCCGGGGGATTCCCCAGGATGCCCAAATTCCCCCCAAATCCGGGGTGGGGGAGACACAGAACAAACAATAAATAACAGGGAATTTGAGGAGGGAATTTTGGGCCCCCCCCAAACCCTTCCAAGGCAAAGGGGGGGTCTTGAGACCCCCCAAAATCCTGATAAAGTGCCACTTTTTTTTTTTTTGCTGAACCCCCATTTTTTGGGAGGGGGCCCCAAATTCCTGGTGGGAAAGAAGGAGATCCAGCCTCCCCCATCCCGAAAAATGACCCTCCCCTAAAATTGGGGTTGGGAATAAGGCCAGAATTCCATAAATCCATAAATCACGCCCATAAATCCACGTCCTTCTCCCAAAAATCCTCGTCCCCACAGTCTCATTCACAGTGTTTGGAATTTGGGGGGAAAACATCTGGAATTTTTCGAGGGGGAGGATCCCCCCTCCTCGGTGCTGCTCCGTTTCCACATCCCGGAATTTCCTCATCCTGCCAGGAAAACGGGAATCCGGAGTCCATGTGTCCCCCTCAGGGGTGTTTCCCCCCTCTCCATGGAATTTTTTGGGTTCTTTCCTCAATCCATGGAATTTTTAGGGTGTCTCCACCTCTCCCTGGAATTTTTTGGGGTGTTCTCTCAATCCATGGAATTTTTTTGGGGGTGTTTTCCCCCATCCAGGGCATTTTTTGGGGTGTTCTTCCCCAGTCCATGGAATTTGTTGAGTGTCTTTCCCCTCATCCATGAATTTTTTTTTATGTCCTTCCCCTTCCATGGAATTTTCAGGGGTGTCCTTCCACCCCCCATTTTTTTGGGTGGGGTCTTCCCCAATCCATGGAGTTTTGGGGGTTGTTTTCTCCCCAGTCCATGGAATTCTGGGGGGTCTCAGCAGAGGTTGAAGACAGAGGGGGCCTGAGCCCGGTATTTTTCCTGGAAGTTCCTGAGGATTGGGATGAGGTTGTGGAAGGAGGGGCGGAAAGAAGCTTCTGCTTCCCAGCAGTTCTTCATCAGCCGGTAAATCTGGGGGAAAACAGGGGTGGAAAACAGGGAAATACCCTGGAAAAGGACCCCCAATTCTCCCCTCCCTCCTCTTCCCCGCAGGAATGTGAAGCCCTTCCCAATTTCCCTCTTCCCTTCCCACTTTTCTCTTTTCCCTCTCCCCTCTTTTCCTCTTTCCCACTTTTCCTCCTTCCTGTTTTTCTCCTTTCCCCTTTCCTTCCCCATTTTTCTCTTCCCTATTTTTCCCTCTCTCCTCTCTCACTCTTCCCCTTCCCTCTCCATTCCCTCTTTCCCTCCCCCCTTCCCTCCCTTTCCCACCTCACACGGACAATCCTTTGGGATCGGGAGCCTCTTCCCTCTCTCCAGGAGCTCAATCAGCCTCAGCACCGTCATCTGCCCTTGGGTGGCTCCGATCAGCTCCAGGAATTTCTGCCAGGGAAAAAAAACCTGAAATCCCACCTCGGCCACCAAGATCCTTGGAGACCCCAATCCCGGGGACCCCTGACCTTGGGAATCCCCAAACCTTGAGTATCCCAACCTCAGGAACCCCCACCTTGGACACACCAAACCTTGAGGATCCCAACCTTGGAGACCCCAATCCTGGGGACCCCCCAACCTTGGAGACCCCAAACTTTGAGTATCCCACCCTTGGGAATCCCCAGAAATCCCGGACACACCAAACCTCGAGTATCCCAACCTTAGCAACACCCAAAAACCTTGGGAACCCACCTCGGACACACCAAACCTTGACCATCCCAACCCTGGAGACCCCAATCCCGGTGACCCCCCAAACTTGGAGACCCCAAACCCGGAGCCTCCCCCCCCCTCCATGAGCCGGATTTCCCGGGAATTCCCCGTCCCTCACCACGGGGGGGCTGTTCCCGGGGTCGCAGCGGGTCAGGAGCTCGTAGAGGGTCACCCCAAAGGACCAAACGTCGGACGAGTAGTAGAACTTGGACTCCTTGAGACACTCCGGGGCGTACCTGGAACAGCGGGAATTCCAGAGCCTCCGGAACGCCCCCGGGATCATTCCCAGCCCGTCCCAGCCCCTGGATCTCACCAGAACACGGGGCTGTCCCCGTCCTCCCGCACCCGGTAGTACTCGTGGCCCTCGGGGACGGCCTTGGCCAGCCCGAAGTCCCCGATCTTCACCACGTGCTCGTTCTCCAGCAGAACGTTCCTGGCCGCCAAATCCCGGTGGATGTAGTGCAGGGAATGCAGGTAGGACATGCCCTGGGGGGGAAAAGGGTTAGAACCAGTTTTGGGGGGGTTAGAACCAGCTCTGGGGGGATTTAGGGGCATTTCTGGGAGGGTTTGGAGCCATTTGAGGGGGTTCAGAACCAGTTTGGGGGGGTCAGAACCAGTTTTGGGGTGTTTTGAGACATTTTTAGGGGTGTTCAGAGATACTAGAACCAGTTTTGGGGGGATTTAGGGGCATTTCTGGGAGGGTCTGGAGTCATTTGGGGGGATCAGAACCAGTTTGGGAGGGGTCAGAACCAGTTTTGGGTTGTTTCAAGACATTTTGGGGGGGTTCAGAGATATTTTGAGAAGGTTAGAACCAGTTTTGGGAGGGATTTAGAACCCCCGTTTTTTTGGGGATTGCCCCCATTTTTTGGGGGATCACCCCCATTTTTGGGATGGCCCAGCCTCAGTTTTTGGGAACCAGCCCCGTTTTTGGGATTCCCACCCTCATTTCCTTGGGAATCACCCCCGTTTTTGGGATGGCCCAGCCCCAGTTTTTGGGAAGCAGCCCTAGTTTTTGGGAAGCAGCCCCGGTTTTTGGGATTCCCACCTCGCAGATCTGGCGGGCGAAGAGCAGGATGTGGGAGAGGCTCAGGGGGTGCTTGGGAAGGAATTCCCGGAGGCTCCCGAGGGGGACGTATTCCATGATCAGCTGCACCACCTTGTCCCCTGGAACAGAGCAGTGGGACCCTCGTGGGGAGAGCAGGACCCCAAATTCCCACCAGGACAACAATTCCCAGCCAAAAACCACCGGGAACTGGGGTTTTTAACCTTCCCGCAGATCCGATCCCGGAAAATTCCCGCCTGGAATTCTCACCCTGCTCGCTGCAGCAGCCCTTGTACTTGACGATGTTCTCGTGGTAGAGGGTCTTGAGGATCTGGATTTCCCTCTTCCAGCTGCTCAGGAGCTCGGGGCTGCTCCCGGATTTCAGGGATTTCACGGCCACCATCTCCCCGGTGCCGTCGTTGGTGGGGTCGTAGCAGTAGAGCCCCACCTTCCCAAAGTGCCCCTGGAGCGGGGAGAGGAGGGAATTCGGGATTTGGGAAGGGAAGAGGGGAGGTTTGAAGGGGGTCCCTGTGCCTGGAGGGGTCGGGGAAGGTGGGAGATGGAGGGGGGGGGGATTCGGAGGGAAAGGAGGGTGAGGGGTGGAATTAGGGACTGGAGGGTGGAATCAGGGATTAAAGAGTGGAATTAGGGATTGAAGGTCGGAATCGGGTGTTAACAAGAGGGCAGTCAGGGATTGCACAATGGAATTTTGGATCCAGGCAGGGAAATCCGCAGGGAAAAGAGACTGAAGCGTGGAATTGTGGATCCAGACAGGGAAAGAAGGTCCAGAATTCCCGGTGGGAATCTCAGGGCGCCACTGACCTCCCCCAGCTCCCGGATTTTCTTCAGGTACCGCTTCTGGAAGATGGTGGGATCCGACACCGGGAAGTCGGGATTCACCGACGTCACGTCCATGAGGTCTGGGAGGAAACGACGAATTTATCTTTTTTTCCCTTTATTTCCCCCTTTTTTTGCCCTCTTTTTCTTTTCCCTCTTTTCCCACACTTTTCTTTCCCCCTTTCCCTTTTTTTTACCTCCTCTCTTCCCTTTTCCTCCCCTTTTCCCCTTTCCCTCTCTCCCACCTCCCCCTCGCCCCGTCCAGAACCCGTATCCACCTTTTCCCAGGCAATCCCACCCCTCTTTTCCCAGGCAATCTCCCCTTCCTTTCCCGGGCAATCCCAACTCCCTTTTCCCAGGCGATCCCACCCCCCTTTTCCCAGGCAATTCCCCCCCCCCTTTTCCAGGCAATCCCCCCCCTTTTCCCAGGCAATTCCCCTCCCTTTCCCAGACAATCCCCCTCCCCTTTTCCCAGGCAATCCCACCCCTCTTTTCCCAGGCAAT